AATTGCAATAAAGGTATTAATAATTTAATTAAAAATATAATTAATAAATGAATATTAAAATAAGTAAAATAAGACAATTAAACTAAAATGCATAATTTGGAGGCGGGTGTGGGCATGTCTTAGTGTCCCCCCGTACCCGCATCCGTAGTTAAGAGCCGAGTTCCTCCCGCACCTGCACCCAATTAAATCGGGTTTTTCCCGTTAATTTCGGGACGGACCCAAGTGGGTGCAGGCAAGTCCGAGTTTGTTTGTCATCCCTAGTCAGAAGCCATAATGGTAGATCAAGTTCGAATAATTTTTCAATAGAGATTGTAGAGGGTAAATCAATGAAAGGTTGTGAAGGTTTCTCAAGAGGATAAGGCATCCTGAGTTCACAAGTTTTGTTACTGGTCCACTGAGTGTAGGGCTTGAAAGCAACACAGTTTTTATTTTCTAGCTTATCCTTACTCTTTTTATGAATGGTGTTCCAAGCCATTATGACTGCCTTTTTCAAATCTGGATTTCCACCCTCATTGAGGTAGAAGAAACCTAACAACAAGAGACTGTTAGGTATGTCTTTCATGGGATACCCAAACTGACGTATTGCAAGAGTGGAGTTGTAGTTAATCCCTCCATGTATACCAAGAAGAGGTACATTGAAAATTCTCTACAACTGTCTATGATAACTCCTTTGTCATAAGTTGGATCATACCAATTCATATTAGTATGAGTAAGAGATAACAAACGTAGAGGGTGTTAATACCTTCCCTCTTGCATAACCGACTTTCGAACCTATAATTTGGTTGCGATGACAATCTTCTTATCCTTAAAGGTTTTCTCGATATTTTCCTATTCCTTCCTTGGAATGAATAAAGTTCGATGATGACTTTGTTCGAACGTTTTTTTTTCCGCGTACATCGCGAGGATTGTATTTTTTTATGTACGACAAGATGGTCTCAGAGACTTATGTCTCTTACTCATACTAATATGAATTGGTATGATCCAGCTTATGACAAATGTGTTATCATAGACAGTTGTGGAGAATTCTCCAATGTACCTCTTCTTGGTATACATGGAGGGATTAACTACAACTCCGTTCTTGCAAGACGCCAATTTGGGTATCCCATGAAAGACAGACCTAGCACTTTCTTGGTGTCAGATTTCTTCTACCTCAATGAGGGTGGAAATCCAGATTTAAAAAAAGACAGTCATAAAGGCTTGGAATACCATTCATAAAAAGAGCAAGGATCAGCTAGAAAATAAAAACTGTGTTGCTTTCATGCCCTACACATAGTGAGTCAGTACCAAAACTTCTGAACTCAAGATGTCTTCTCCTCTTAAAAAACCTTCATAACTTTTCATTGATTTACCCTCTATAATCCCTATTGAGAGTAAAATCTACTTTTTATTCCATTTATTCTAAATAATTTCACAGACATATTATAATATATAAATTCAAATAAAGCAAATTCAAATATGTATCTATATTTTACAATGAAATCAAGCTTTGCTACAAATGTGCCTATAACAATGAAAACGTGCATATAAAGTGAGGACCGTGAACCAATTATAAACATAAATGTTTGTCACATTTTATGTATTATTGGTCTCTTTAACACCTTCTTTCATTCATGCCTTCCACCAACATTTTCAATAATGCAAAATCCAATTTACAAGGTGTAAATTCTCACCAATCGTGGACACATTGTTAAATCATATTTAGTATATACTTCTAATTCTTTTATGAAAAAAAAAACAACTCTTTTGATCAAGACAAAATAATCAAAAAAATAAATTTTACATAAAACTATTTGCATGTTCTATTTTCAATTTTTTTTTCTTAAATTCTCAAATCTATCTCATTCGAAAATTAATATTCGATAATAAAAGAGAAAATAATCATCACGATTTGTTCGAATAAACATGCACACAATAAATTTGCACAAATACAATTAATAAATAAAATATTATTTCTTTATAATAAAAAATTTAAAATAAAAATTAATATAATAAAATTAGAATATTTAAAAGTAAAAATATTGTTAAATAAAAAAATATTGTTAAATTTTATAAAAAAAAATTAAATACAATATCTTTTCATCATCACAGTGAATAAAACAAGTTCCTTTATCATAAAATCAAGTTATTTACTACTCAACAACCTCTTTGTTTTCTAGTACTTAAATCCTCTAATGGTTCTCTTGTTGTTGCAAAAATGGCCAAGAACAGAGAAACCTCTGAAAAAAATCTAACCCCATTTTCACTGCAAAATCACAATCTTGTCTGTGTTAAATTTGCCGCGTCGTTCTTCTTTGTAGCTCTTGCTTTTCGTCTTCTCTTCTGGGATTCTTTCAGTTTATCATCATTCGTACAGTTTCAAAAACCACAACCTCAAACAGTGGCAAAAACAGAGTCCATTGTTTTCCAATCCCCTCATAAGGCACCAGAATCTGATGCATTTCAGTTCAACAATCAGAATCAAACCTCTTTCAATGGTAAGAAACTTTTTTTTTTTTTTGCTTTTTGTGAATGAATTGTTTGTTTTTGTGTCGTTTAAGGTTGTGTTTGTTTTATGCAAATGTTTAGGTTCAGGAAAATGTAATCTGTTTGTCGGAGATTGGGTTTCTGATCTTTCTGAACCAATGTACACAAATGAGAGTTGTCATGTGATTGAGCCTCATCAGAATTGTATGAAAAATGGAAAACCTGATTTGGGCTATCTTTATTGGAGATGGACCCCGAAAGAGTGTGAGTTGCCGAAGTTTAACGCAAACAAGTTTCTTAACCGAATGAGGAATAAAGCAATGGGTTTTATTGGTGATTCTATCTCACGCAACCATGTTCAGTCCCTACTTTGTATTCTTTCTCAGGTATGGTTAACTTTCTTGTCTGCTATGTTGATTCGGTGCGCTCTGTTCCATCGATCTAAGTTTTCGGAAATCATATCTAAGTTAGAATCGATTCAACCGTGACAAAATAATAGAGTCTGTTTAACACAGTTTAACGATGACAAATATTTTATGAAGTTATATTTACAAATATTACACCTTATGGGATAGTCCACCTTGCACAGGTTCAAACCGGCTCTGTCAACTACAACTGTGGTTGCGATGCTGTTGTGATTGCACTGAAAATCTTGATATAGTGATTGTAATTACAATTGTGATTCAATGGTGCAAAATGTAAATAGAATGCGTTTGCATCAATCATGCAATTGTTATTTTGAAATTACTACAATTTACAAATTCTAAGGTAAAAGCCTTGTCATTGTCAATGAAGCTGTTGATTCTGGAATACAGCTGGTGCTAATAAGTAGTAACATATAGTTGGTCCACTGTCATATCCAAAATGGTTTACCTACAATGAATGAGATATGCCATGACTTTCAACTAGAAAAAACATATGCTTTGTGAAAATTAATGTAAAAGCTTCATGTTTACCATGTTGTGTTCTTCACTAAACTAGTACCAGTACTTTTTTAATCAACTGAAAACAATACATTAAATATTGTGTACTGTTTCAGTTGTGTCTTGCAAGTTTTGGTTTGTCTATATTCTTTATTTCATCACCTTTGTCCCCACAATATACATGATTTATCACTTTATCTATTTGTTGCATCATGTATTGTCTCAAGAATTGGTCCTACAAAGTGTGTAATAAATCAAATTCCAATGATTTGACTCTGACACAGGTGGAACAAGCTGTTGAGGTTTACCATGACAAAGAATATAGATCAAAAATATGGAAATTTCCCTCTCATAACCTCACATTATCAGTAATATGGACACCTTTTCTTGTCAAAGCAGCTATTTATGAAGACATGAATGGAGTTTCATCTTCAATGGTGCAGCTTTATCTCGACACACTTGACGAACAATGGACTAAACAATTCAACGATTTCGATTATGTTGTAATTGGTGGTGGAAAATGGTTTCTGAAATCTGCGGTATATCATGAAAACAACACGGTGGCCGGCTGCCATTACTGCCCTGGAAAGAATTTGACCGATCTAGGATTCGACTACGCATACCGAAAAGCGCTTCAACTTGTTTTCAACTTCTTTGCCAAGAATTCTAGCCATAATGTGACTGTTTTGTTTAGAACTACAACACCAGATCACTTTGAAAACGGCGAATGGTTTAGCGGAGGGTATTGTAATAGAACTGTACCTTTTAAAGCGGGTGAAATTAGTATGGTAGATGTAGATTCTATCATGAGAGGTGTTGAAGTTGAAGAGTTTGAGAAGGCTATTACATCGGTTGGATCTGAGAATGGCGTGAAATTGAAACTTTTGGACACGACTTTTCTTTCTTTGTTGAGACCAGATGGACATCCGGGACCTTATAGAGAGTTTCAGCCATTCACGAAAGATAAGAATGGTAAAGTTCAGAATGATTGTTTACATTGGTGTTTACCAGGACCAATCGACTCGTGGAATGATATAGTAATGGAAATGCTAGTAAATGGTTGATAATGTCACTGAATCAATCACCTAGGTTTGAAATTTGAAGCTGGTTACAACAATGATCATTTGAAATTCAGGATCCATTGTGTACATGAAACTGTATAGGACAATCAGAACATGCAGAAGACATGTGATACCTAATCAGTTTGGTGCAGAATTTGTAAACCTTAGCAGTCATGCAAAAACTCAGTTCATGTCATTTTCACCATAATTCTTATAATGAATATATGCCTATTTTATTTAATGCGAAAGTTAATCATATATGCGAGACATAAGCATCAATCTTGCAAGTATTGTTTTTAACAGAAAAGAACGAAATGGAAGATTATTAAACATTTCCATTCGACACTGTTGTACAAAAGAACAAATATGGATCTCTGAAATATGAACGAGTTCGCTAAAACTTTTGTAGGTTTATTCTAAACTAGGGTCCAGACTTCACTCGACACCTGAGAATTTATTAACTAAGAGAGCATGTTTTACAAAACCGTATACAGGGCTCATAAATCAATGTTTAGATTACATTAAAACACACACCACTGTGACATTTTTTCTACTACTTGGTTGCAGGTTGATTTCCAAACTTCCTCTCCTCTGGTTTAGTGAATGGATCCTGGAAAGTACAATCGAAGAAGTTAATTTCAATCACGTAACAACAATATTGTCGACAACTTATAAAGTTCCAACTGATACAAGATTCAGATACCAATACAACACTTCTTAAACTCAGATTGTGCTAAAAACTATCCTGCAAAACAAACTTTTTAAAGTTTGGATTTGACCTAACTTAATTCTCCAAACCCGACTTCTTTAAATTTGAGTTTCACCTATCTCAATCATACAAAACTGTCTTACAAACTTAAATTTTAGGTCATATCTTATCCGACGTGAGCGTCTTACCACACAACTTCATGCCCAAAAACGTGAATCTGCCGACTGATAGCCGGTGGTTCAACGGGACATTCACTTGCCTTTTCACACACTACCTCATGGACCACCCACCTTATAAGCTAATTTTGTAGGGTTGAATTAGGCATGCCTCAAATGTAAGAACACTAACCAGTCACCACAGAACACACATGCTACATCTAGGGTAGGGGCCCAATTACCCCCAAGGGTGTGTGAAGAAATGCAGAAATTTGAATTCAAGTCCTTGTATTGGACGTTCCAAACTAAGCTAGACAAAACTTTCAAAAGAAATTATAGAATTGAACAAAATAAAATGAAGAATCAAATCAAACACAATTCTTTGGTATAATCTTCCTATAAAAATCAATCCTTTTCATGAATCAATGGCAGCTAACATAAAGAAAACCCTCGCCACCCCGAATGAAATTGATTAGATTCCTGAAGACCCAGATCATGAATCGGAATTTAAATCTATAAAAATCAATCCTTTTCAGCAAATATAAAACGGAGAAAGTTAATAGCGCAAAAGGGTCAGAAAGAAGAGAGATAACGGAAATTACATTCTTGACCAAGATGAAGTTAGCGACGGCAACGGTTGCTACTACGCCGCCGAGGATAGCCGCCGGACCTGTAAGGAGACTCCACTTCCGATAGATCATCTTTTTCTTCTTCTTACTTCTTCCTCTGATTCGCTCTTTTTACCAAATGAAATTGAGTTGGGGTGTTGCTTTCTACACCCTAGTATTTAACAGATCCACCCCTCTGGGCCATATACATTTGGGCAATTTTTTTGCATTTTTTTGTTTACTTTTCCCACCACCCTTTAGAAATCTGAATTTGCCCTTACTATATAAGTGCACTTTCTGACGCATTTATCGGTGTTTAAAATTAAACCGACCAAATTAAAAACGGTTAACTGAATCAAACAAAACCGAACCGTATTATGTTACAACCTAAGCTATATTTAACCCATTTCTAAACTGCTAATTGAATTAAACCAAACTGAACTGCATTATATGAGTGTTCTTTTAAGGTGCGTGGATGCCTTAAGGCAAATAGTACATGGATATTTAATGTGATTTCTGATATAAATAATCATGATTTGTGTCACAAGTTAGCTGGTGATCCTACTGTATGTCGACTTAATCTTAAGGAGATGTAACTTGTTTCTAACATGACATTGAATATGGTGTCGCCCAAAAACATATTTACAACTTTGAAACGTAAAAAAACACAAAATATCTCAAATGTCGAGAAAATATACAATTTTGTGCCATAAACAAAAAGGTGTAAGATGACCAAGAAATGAAATGCAACAACTGTTAAAACTTTTGGATGATGATCAATATGTTTTTAGGTACATAGTGCGTAAGGATGAAGTCATTGTTTGAGATATTTTTTGGACTCATCTTGATTCCATCAAGTTGTTCAACAGATATCCCATTGTACTCATAATTGATTCAACGTACAAGACCAACATGTATAGGCTTCCACTTTTAGAAATTATTGGTGTTACTTCAACGAAGATGACGTTTTTAGTGGGTTTTGCATTTTTTGGAAAGCAAAAAAAAGGACGATGTTACATGGGATTTGAAAGTATGCAAAACTATGTTGAAAGACCAAGAAAGCATTCCAAAGGTCATTATAACCAATCGCGACACCTCATTGATGAATTCGATTGCAAAGGTGTTTCTTACATCATATGCACTACTTCGTAGGAATCACATAACCAAAAATGTGAGAAGCAGATTTAAACCGTGGTAGGGGCTAAACAAATCAGGGGTGAAGATGGGAAAATGGTCAAAGTTGGTGTGGTATTGGAAAGCATAATGGATGATTGGAATGGTATAATACATTCATCCACGAAAGAGTTATATGCAGATTCCATCCTGATTCCATCAAGTTGTTCAACACATATCCCATTGTATTCATAATTGATTCAACGTACAAGACCAACATGTATAGGCTTCCACTTTTGGAAATTATTGGTGTTACTTCGACGAAGATGACTTTTTTTGTGGGTTTAGCATTTTTTGGAAAGCGAAAAAAAGGACGATGTTACATGGGATTTAGAAGTATGCAAAACTATGTTGAAGTACCAAGGAAGCATTCCAAAGGTCATTATAACCAATTGTGACACCTCACTGATAAATTCGATTGCAAAGGTGTTTCCTACATCATATGCACTATGTCGTAGGAATCACATAACCAAAAATGTGAGAAGCAGACTTAAACCGTGGTACGGGCTAAAAAAATCAACGGTGAAGATGGGAAAATGGTCAAAGCTAATGTGGTATTGGAAAGCATAATGGATGACTGGAATGGTATAATACATTCGTCCACAGGAGATTTATATGCAGAATATGTAATACATTCTAGGAGGGTCTGTGCGAGATATTTAGATTTCCTAAAACATGTTGAGAGTACAATTCTGGACTAGGTGAAGGAGAATATTGTTTGTGATTAGACCTACCAATTTAGACACTTTGACAATACAATAATTAACAGAGTTGAATATGCATGTGCTACACTGAAGAATTGGTTGGAAAATAGTAAAGGTAGTTTTTGTAAAGGTTGGGACTCCCTAAACCAAATGATCTGAAATCAACATGATAAGATACAAACATCTTTTGGTTAGATTATTAATATATTATAACACTAATTTAAAGACAACATTCCTTATTCACAATTGGTTGGCAATATATCTTGGGCGAAATTGAATTTTATTTATCACGAAGCCAAGCGAGTAGAGAAAATAGGGATAGATAATTCAACGTGTGGTCGTACACTTAGGAAGATTCACGGTCTTCCATGTGCTTGTTTAATTGCAAAGGAAATGAAAATTCCTAAACTGATACGTATGGATGAGATTTACGCTCACTTGAAAAGGCTTTGGTTTGATGATGATGGTGTGATATCGAACGATAAAGCAAATATATCTATCTCGATTGAATCAGAAGTTATTCAAGAAAGGTTTTTGAAAGTCGATGACAATATGAAACTCCACATCAAAGAGAAACTGGAGAAGATTGCCTATCCAGAAACCATAAATTTAAAACCATCGTCACAACTAGTAAAAACAAAGGGTGTTGTTAAGAAGGTAAAACCAACACCGAGTGACAATTTAACAATGTTATCTCTTTTCTAGTTTGAACATATTTTGATATTTTGTAGTTTTATCTAACTATTTATTTAGGTGGTGACACATTTTTTTATGTATTGTTGTCAGCGATGTCACCGAAGATACACCTCTTGTCAATATCCATACAATTAATAGTTGTCAAGCTCGAGTATCGTTCACCCTCGATTGATGATGAAGGGAAGATACAATTAAGAAAGTTTGAGTTAAAAATGAATGAAAATTTAAGGGTTACGTGGAGTACATTTTACCGTTCCAAAATAAAGGTTTCGATTGAAGTGGATGCAGAAATTGTAAGATCAACCGAAGATATTCTAAAGATGTTGAAACATCTAGAACCATCTGTTCATAATGAAATATAATGTTAAATTTATATTGATTATTATCTATGCAATGTTAAGTATTTTGATGTTAATTTATGTTGTTTTTCCAAAATTCTATAATTGTTTATGGTTTGATAAAACATGGCCTATTATGGAGATGCAACTCCGAACACTTTTTGGTAAAATAGGGGTGGCTCACTTATGAAGTTTCGAAGTGTGTATGTATTATGGATGCATCCAGAGATGTATTTCTAGAATTCAGGGGCATTTTTTTAATTTTTCACTAAGGTGCGCTAGCACCCAATGGGGTGTACAAAGTAGCCCTTTATTTAAAGCTTGATATCTAGTTTTGTGACCAATTAATTTAAAGGACCAATCCAAACGTTCACTTACAACGGTTGTATGAACTGGTCCAATATATGAATTGTTAGCACCTTATGTGATTTGAACTCGAGACCTTGAGAGGAGCACACTTTCATAATCCAAGCATTCACCAACATGATAAACTATAAAGGTTTACACCTTATTATATTTAGTTAATCACATACCAATATTATATTTTTTTAAGGTAAATTAAATTAGGGTTTAATACCCTTTTTGGTCCTGTATGTTAATCTCAGGGTTCACTTTGATTTTTTAACTTAAAAAAGTTTATTTTGGCCACTTGACTCTTCAAAATATCCCCTGTTAGTCCTTTTTGTATAATTAACAACAAATTTAGCAACCGATTTTTGAATGTTTTGTCACTAACTAAGAGAAAAGGACTAACATGAGACCTTTTGAAGAGTTAAGAGACCAATATGGACCTTTTAAATTTAAGGGACCAAAATAAACTATGAGGTCAACATAAGGGACCAAAAAAGAAATTAAGTCTTAATAATCGACTTAACTTAACTAATCAAATTTTTGTAGATGATTAATCAAGTGTTGCACAATATAAGAAAAGAGTAAGGGTGGTAATTGAACTCTTATCTAATGGATACTCCTTAAAAAGATTCACAACGGATAAGATAGAAACTTGTAAACAAGTGCAAGTATGGGCACAAGTACATACACCTATGTATCCACCATGTCTCATATTCTCATAATATATTTATATATTTTAATTTTTATTATTATATTAGTGTTTTTATTTGAGGTTGACCAATAAGAACTCACACTTTCTCCTAGAGTTGAGTAAAACTTATCAATGGTGATTTTGTTTGAGGTTGAACCAATAAGAACTTACACTCTCTCCTAAAGTTGAGCAACACTCATCAATGGTGATTTTGTTTGAGGTTGAAGATGAAGTTTCACAACTTTTCTCATATAAGAGATTAAGACTTAAAAAATATTTTCTTCAAGTTTTATGTAAGACAGATTTTTGTATGAATGATGAACACTAAAATTTTATCAAGGTTATTATGTATTTATTGCAAAAGTATAGAGTGAAAGATTTTATATATGTGCTAGAGACAAGGCACAAAAATAGTGTAAAAATGACCATTTGATTTGAGTCAAATCCAAACAAAATGATTTGAATATAGTGATAGAATAATTTGAATCAAGAGAAGAAAACTCAAAATTTTGTTTGGTTATTTGAATCATGGTTCAATTCATGTGATTCAAATCACGCTCAACTATGATTCATATCATGATTCCACAAATAATTTTAGAAACAAAAATTACATTCATGACTTGAACCAAACTAAACCATGATTATAATCAAAATACCTCATGATTTGAATCAAGTGACTGTGTGACTTGAATTACAATTGCAGCGCGAAATCCCAAATTTTCAAACTTGTTCACGGTTCAAATCAAGGCTTTTTATAATTAGAATCATGTTTTCTAGAGTTTCTTGACTCAAGTTAAAAACTTGCTTATTCAAATCATCTTGCTTTGACTTTTAGTCAAATACTTGATTTATGCACACAAAAGACATTTTATCTTATAAGCGAGCGAGAGGCTTATCGTGAGTAACTCAAATGCGTTAAAATAATACAAAAAACGTAAAAATAGTTAAATTGATATTGTTACCAAAAGAGCAATTTCAATTTTGGCCTGAGCGAGTTTGGTTTGTTCAAGGTCATTCAGGATGATTATTTGGTGAAAGAGGTCGAAGATGAGGCTACCCCACTTTTTCGGAGAAGAGGGTATGCCTATTCCAGATTAGGAGATTGTGTCGAATCTTGATTAAGAGACTATATTCATCCCA